CTTCAAGATTAATCAACATCAGGATAGAACATCAGATTGGATAAAGTCAGAGGCGAATAACTCGTGGTTACTGTACCAGGAGGCAGAAGTTGTCAATCCAGACCCAGAGGTCGCTCTTCTGGATGCTGCCTCTCCAGGGCGACTGGTACACATGCTTCACTGCAGTAACGGTAATGTCTGACACCGCAGGGTTGGTCAAAGCGAAGGGGACACTGATCCACTGTAGACAGCCAGAAACAAGTCCAGGAATTAACAGTTACAAACACAAAACTTAATGGAAATACTTCTATAATGGTACAAGGCAAATTTAATTGTCATTTTACAAAAAGGTGGTATAACAGGATGAAGTTTGTAGATCTCATTATGCTACTCACAAAGCAAATATTTTGATTTGATAAAATTATATACATAAACTATATGGCATGGAGCAGTGATGAGGATGTTTTAATTTATTTATCACAAATTAGTTTTTATTAAAATCTTTTAGACAATTTGTCACAAATAAATCTTTGCAGTGTCAATTCATTTTACTGTGTGCCCTTGGAACTGCATGTTTTACTATTTTTGTGCAGTATTCTTGGAGTGATTACGCATATTTTAAGTCAAGGTCAAAGTACATTTGATGGGACACATACAGTAAATCTACTCAAGATGTGTAACTAATTACACTATTTGCTATTATCTACTTTTCATTAGGGTTCAACATGAACCTACCAGGCCAAGAAAGATGCAGAAGAGCTGCACTACGTCAGTGTAGGCCACAGAGTAAAGTCCTCCAACCAGGGTGTAAAAGATTGCAATGAGTGCCGAGATAACCACGGACATCTTAATGTTGATGTCCACGATGACACTCAGAGTAGCACCTAAGGTCATGGACAAACACACATTAAGGCCACTGCACCATCATATGGTCAACAAACTCAAACATGCTTTGATCTTATTGCCCACAAGAATCATTTTTGTAGACTGAAACATGAACTTACCAAGGGCGGATAAGATGGCAGCAGACCAGAAGATCTCACCCATGAGTGCAGGTATGAAAAGGAGGCCACCCATGCGTTTCCCATACAGCTGCTGGAAGGGGTCCAACATGGTGACGTAACCGCGTGAGCGCATGGGCTTAGCGAAAAAAAGACCACCTGGGACAAAGAGTGGACACCTGACTGGCTGAGAACTGAGGCATCCACCATCCAGGGCCCCTAAATCTAGACTAAACTGCCTGTCATAATCCTCAAGTGTACATTTAAAATGTATTTATGGTTTAATTGTGTTTTCTTAAATAGATTTGTTTAAAATGGACAAAACCATTAAAAAGCATTATATTAAAAAAGAGGCTGATACTGAACAAGAATTTTTCTGTGCAGAGGACCACATGTAAAGGTTTATTTAGCACCCAAACCAATCATTTCAATTAGGTATGTGGTCAATACGTCAGTATATTAATGTGGTATATTATGTGTGGAGTGCATTTGAGTGTAAAACATGTCTGATGAGTGTGACCGCAAAATCCCCCCTTATGCTCTTTCTCAGTCCTGTTCACACCTGTTTTTCACATTGTTTTAAACGTGATTGCCACATATAACCACTCACCCACAACAAGACTGAGGGCATATCCAAAAGGAGCTTGTGCCCAGGCCAAGCCATAATCCGGTAGATACACATATTCAGCTGTGCCATTGATGTATCCACCTCCAACCCAGGTCGCTAAAAAAAATATTACACGCACAGAAAATAAAATGTCACCACTAGAGAAAACCAGATTAAAGAATTACACCTATTTGACATTTGTGTTAATAAAACAGGAGGGCATTTTATGCCAAAATTCGTAGCAATTCAAGCAATTTACACAGTAACACTTAGTGCCAGTAGGTCAAACTTTAATCAAAGAATTTGTCTTAAAGCTGCATCCTGGAGTGACGTTCTTACAAAATGTCGGAACTTAATTCTAAAAACAAAACATCCTGAAAAAAGTCGTACTACATAAGGAAAACAACTCCGACAGATGATTCTTCACGTTAAAACAAACTGAGGTTAAACTTGTTAAAAAAGGCTTTACTGCTAATTAGCATTTATCAAATCTAATGGACACAAACTTCACCTGTCATGGTAAATCCCCCGACAAATAACCCAATATCTCTCCCTCCGACCATGATGGTTTCGCTGCGGTCGGTGCCCTCCGCCTCCCCGGAGTGTTTGTTCTTCCATGCCGCCCAGATGCCCACGAACAGGATCAGCACATAGAAGAGCGCGATAGCCACAAGCCCCTCGACATGGATAGTCATTGTCGCGCCGGTCTTCCGCTAGGAACGGGAGGGCATGGAGACCTGCTTTGCGCACGGAGAACAGAGGATCACATGTTAAGTCCAGTACAGTATTTATAAAAAAAAAGTAATTTGGCATTTAGTTTTCTGCATCTGGTCTGGAGTATTGGCAGATACGTGCCAACAGTTTGACCTTCTTGGTTTGTTTTAATTTTTTTTTTTTTTTTTTATGTTTCAGTTGGATTAGAGGTTCAACTGACCAAATACGCGGTGATTTGTTGAAATAGAAAATTATAATAAGAATAGTCCAAAAAAAATCATTTCCTCTGCCGATTTAATAGATTTCGTGTGCTCTTGTGGCCCTGATATGACTTTCAACTCAGCAGGTCATTTGTTGTGATCGACACTCTACATTATTATAATAAGTAAAATGCAAAAGCTTTTGTAAAAACGTCCATATTCCTCCACGTACAGCACGTGCCATCTTGCTTAATTCATAAAATATTTCCCATAAAGCAAAATAAATCAAACAAATCTGTACGAATTGTTTTAAAAATAATTACAGCTAGTTTTCTTCTTTCTGATCAAGTCTCTTTTCAGTCTCTTCTTCTGTCCTTCTACGCGGGCACATGTGCGTAAAATTCAAATTACGCACTGCATTCATGATAAAAACCTTGCCATCCTAAGTCCGAGACTACCTCATCCAAATCGTATTGTAGGTACTGAACTGTCACCTAAAGATCTCCAGTCAAATGAAAAAGATAGCGTCCTTATTTACCAGTATCAGAAAGCTTGAAAAACACACGCAAAACTTACCTCAAGTGCTTCTAGAGTCATGTGCTGGGGCACCTGAGGCAGAAAACTGTGAGCAGAACAGTTGGGTAGTTTATTAAGAGCCTCGTCCCGCTTTACACACCAAGAAACAGTTGGATGAAACGTTGGTGGTGGTCTCCTGGGTGACTTACTGGGGCTTATAAGGGGGCATGTGCCGTAAGAGGACTGATACACGCGTCAGAGGAACGAAACGTCCCTCTTAACGAGCACCTTGCAGGGAGACACGTCACACTGTACTTACTGATCTAATTGGAGGAGGGAGGGAGAGATTCCTTTACGCAATAACGGGGACGGATGGGCATCCTACCCACCCCCCCTTCCAACCAGTGAACGGCATGCCATGAATTTCAATGTCAGCGATGCATTTTTAAACATTAAAATAATCCATGATTTGTGGAAGACTTTTATGCTTCACGTGGCTCCTGCTCCATCACACTCAGTGCGCAACAGCTATACGTCTTGTGGCCTTTTACCCGCAGTCACTCTCCCCCCAGCCGGCATTTTACCTTACAACCAATTAACTTTCCACAGAAACAAGTTTTTGCGCGACTGAGGTGGATGAGAGACCGTCCTATGCCCTCCTGCTTTGCGCAGGAGAAAACTGCGGAGCGATACATTTATTTAAAGAAAAACACATTCAATAGGCCATGAGTTGTTAATATTCAATACCTTAACCAGGAGCGGGTCCACTCTTCCTTCTTTTTTAGGCCTAAGGCAGACCAAAATGCTCTCCACCTTAGAGCAATTACAAATAATTTAAGTGTACTGTGTCGCCACTTTCCCTTTATATATATATCAATGAACTGTGTCTACCTAATGGCCCCCTCTGCCTGAAGTAGTCTAATCTGGGCTACTCTTGTCAAAACTGACAGGCATCCAATTAGGATGGATCCTGAAGAGCAGCGGAGAGATTTAATGATACAGTCCGACTTTAAAAAAATCCTGGCGCGCGCGCGCACTCACACTCTCACACACACACACACACTAACGGACGGCTGAGGTGTATTCATCCAGAGTGACACGCTCATTTTAACCGGCAAACGCGCACAGCGCCTCCTTTTGGCAGCAGACCATTTCAGCACCACGGACAGAGGCTAATCTCAGGTTAGTCCGGTTGCAGGTTGCTACAAAACTTTTGGATAGATCTTAAATGTCCAAATTGATGGGAATGCATCATAAAGTGTGACATAATTTGTGCGGTCATCTTTTTTTTTTTTTTTTTTTTTACTATATTCACATTTTGACATCATCAGTTGATTTCTGTCTTAGTTAGTTAGGAATGACAATGAAAAATGTTATTTGAGTCAGCTTTAAAGGCTGAACTGTACACACTTTTTTATGGGCTTTTGATTCCCATTTAAATCAGATATACCAAACATAAAAAAAAATTACAAATAAAGACAATTTAACAAGTTAAGTAATTAGAAAAATGTTGACTTGAATTGGATTTTGTTCAACATCTGACAAGTGCCTGTGTAATACAGATGCCAAACTCTAAAACATCCGGAGACAGCTGGAAAGGTTCCTAACTGCATGTTTGACAGATGGCTGGCACATGACCTTGACACTTTTTCAAGCTAAACACCAAAGCCTCTACGTGTTTGTGGAGTGATGATACTAGCCTCTTACCCATGTTCCTTAATCAGGTCATTATATCAATGTGTAGATACACAAACACACCGTTTACAAAAATCAACAGGGATCCTTGTAACTTGTATAAATTAATGTTTATGTTTAACCAAGTAAATTGTTGGGGGCTCAAGGACTCCAGGTTTAATGAGCAGCTGTTGCTGGCAGCACTCGAGATGTTCGTGAGAGAGCAGGAGAGAGAGCTAGAAGAGAGCTAGAGAGAGAATGTAAGATGAGACTCATATGTGCCATTATTTCCCAAATCATGAGTGATAATTCATTTTCCACAGCATTTATTCTTTGAAAATTCACACATACAATGTTATAAACAATATACACGCAGCTCATTTGATTATACAGTTTGAAGGAAGAACCTATAATTTCTGCTACAGTGAACCTGTGCTCAGAGGGTCCTTGTTTTGAATCAGATGACCCTCTGCTTGTTTTTAAAACGTGAAGTAAATGAAAGTTGACCAAACGTCTCCCTGTAAATCACCATTCTGAAATGTCTTGCAATTGTAGAAAAAAAACAATATATTACAAAATCAATGTGGTGTCCTTAAAGCCACCATGAGTAGGATTTGAATATTTTGGACTTTGGCGTCCCTCAGTGGTAGTATATACAAATCCATAAATATGAGTGGGCTGAAAGTAAAACATTGACCAGTTTTCACTGGAAATGTCTCCTTGAAGCAAAATACATTACAGTACAATGATATATACTTTCAGGATTTAAAACTATTAAACCACCTGACAGCTACAAAAGCAGAATATTCAGCGTGTGTTTCTTTAAGCTAAAATTACCATGTACTTTACAATTTTTAAATTTTTTTACTTGCTCTACATAAAATGCATTTGTGAAGTTTTCACTGGTTGATAAATCTGGTAAAAGGGCACGACTAACCATCAATTGACTTTTCATTCACTCACAACAAGGAATAGGGATTGTTTCGTCCAATCCACTCCAAACACTGGTAATAAATTCTACAGTTACTATTTTAAGCCACCAACAAAATGCTTTTCAAAACAAGACATGACTTTCATAATGTCAATCAGACCTCCTATATTTGCTGTATAATTTCTGTATGGTACAGTCCTGAAAGTGAACATGACTGTCAGGACACCCATTAGTAAATCATACGCTATGATTTTCTGTATTCAGTCTCATGTAAAGTGTAACTCGGGGGAAAACATTTTTGTAGTGATATTTCTAGTACAAAAAACAAGTTCTACAGATGAGAAATTTATGAACAAGATACCACAGAGTATTTAAAATAAACCACTATTATTTTAAAGATCTTATCATACATTTTGGTCAGTTATTCCTTTTTGCCTTGAAACTACTCAAAAACAGTGAAACACCTCTCACTTACTATGGAGCACAGTTGAGGTGATGGAGCTTGAAAAACTAAAAAAGCAGCCACACACTCTGATCTGCACAGAAGTGGGTTTTAATACAAGCTTTCAGTCAGAGGCTGGAGAAGAGGATCAAAGCCTTGCATTAAAAACTTAAGGCAGGCTGAGCAGATGTTTTTTTCTTCAGTTGTCCGCCTTCGAATCACTTAAGTACCATGAGTTAATTGTAAGAAGCATTTTTTTTAAATTACATTTTTTTAGCAATGAAATAAGGCAAAGGTAAACACACTATGCAGGCTAATTAACTTGACATTCACTTTATGACAATCAATTTGTCACTTGTTACAGCTAAGTTAACTATATAGGTACATGTAACAATGTGTACAACAAAATCTAGTGGAATTTCTGGAAAACATTTAATCTTCAATATCCTACATATATTTTCACAACTATTCAAAAAAGAGCAGCATTAATTAAACACGAGCAGAACAGCATTTAATGTGACAGTGAGATTGCCCTACTGTATATAAGTTTGAGAAAGGCAGTATGCATTGGAATGCATGGAAAATGTTGGCATTTGTCAAACAAATACCAGAAAATTTGCCTCTGCTGAAGAAGTATTTGGAAAAAATTATAAATATAATAAACTGAACTTTTGTAATGCTTCAAACATAAATAATATTGTATTTTCAGAGGCTCTGAGAGACATACGGAAAAAAACAGAGCATTTGGCATATTTCAGAAGTGGAAACCATTTCTTCCTTAAAGGTCGTTGTGTATGTATTAGCCCGTTACAGATCCCAGAGACTGTACCCTGTTCTCAAGCAGCGGCCATAAAACTGCAGATCAGAGCATTTATCCCTTGCTGTCAGGGTGCACTGGAAATGAATATGATGATAGCACACAAAGCCACACCCTAGCTAATAATGGTTATTGTGAGCCAGTGGACAAATGGCAAAATACAGTGAGTTTGCATCACTGGTATAATGTAGTGCCAGTCTGAAATCAACCAACTGTGAAACATGTGGTCTCTTCAGGGAACATTTGTCAGACACAGGACAGTTTAAGGGCTAAAATATGCAAAATAACACACCACCCAGCAATATGTCATCCCAGATATTCATGCTCCCTAAAATGAAGACAGCACCAACCACAAAAACTTATTTAAGTGCAGCTACAGTTTATCATGATCGCTGTGAGCCTGTTACACAAAGATATTGAGAAATGGGAGGAATAATAAAAATAGATTTTTCCATATTTTAAAATGTTTTAGTGCCCGTTTGTATTAATCAGTTTAAACATATAACAGATGTGTTAATGGTGCTAATTTGTTTCTCATGTCATGTCGGTGGATGCATTTTTACTGTTATAACTAGCCTGAGAGATTCAAAAAAATCTATACCTTGTCCAAGTGAATCAGACGAATCCAAGAACCTTCTAAATACCCCAATATTACTATCCCATGGTACCTCTGTAAACAGGGCCAACCCCATCTTTCTTTAAAGACTTCCATGGCTGTTGCTAGTTCCGATGTGTCGATCCTCAAGCCCTCACGTTCTCATTGTTTTGATTTGATCTGGAAAGATATGCAAAATGCAGTTAATTAGCAAAACATCAAGCAAGTTCAAAAAACAATACAAAACAGTGTCATGTATGTACCACTGTCTCTCATAATGGAGGGAACCAACATACTGAGCATGTGGATCAAGATCTGAAAATTGGATTGCGCTACAGGAGCAGGTTAAGGAGGTTCTATGGATGTGTTCCACTGTGTCTGCTGTGAATCCAAACTGACTACTAACGCTGTCCTCTGCAACAGAGCTAGCTATAAACCTTTCAAAGTCACCTTTCAAATGTTGAAACTTGAGCATTTGATACTGAAGGGATAGAGTATTCGGACATCAGCACCAGCCTTATTAGGGCACCCTCGACTCAGTAGACGTAAAGGGAAGCCAAAAGGCCTTAGATGATGAAGCCGAAGACACAAATTTCCAGGGGTTTTAGACGTACTGTACTGTTAGTTCATAGTAACCCTGTGGCTCACTCAGCTGCTTTAAGACTAGAGTCACAATAACTTTTTTTTTTTAATTATACAATCTTCTACAGCTACGCAGTAACACAGTAAATAACACAACACTAAACACCCAGTACTCACTGCATAATTTGATCTATGGAAGGATTTGAATGTTAAACATAATAAAAAGAAAAGAAGATGATATTAATGTAGTGTAATAGTGTAGTGGAACAGATCATACTTTGCAGGCCAAGTTATGCAATAAAACAAACATGATCCATTTTGATGTGGAGAAAAACAGACATTTTCAAATTCTAATCATTTGTAGGATTAACTTGGTAAATGTTTGTTGAAAAATGATGGAAATATACACTTATCCTAGACCATCCAACAATAAACTAATAGGCCAATTGATGAGAGTATTATATTTCGAGTTACATCCGAGTGAAATTGTAGAAATACGAAATTACGTCAAATGCACTGTAGGTTTGAAATTGACTGGGAAGATCCTTGCTGCTAATTAACAGTGGTCATATCTGCAGTATAAAAACATAGCAAAACTAATTTAAGCCACATATTTATTCATCTACAGATGGTCCATAAATTAATTATTGTGTACATTGCCATCATTATATCCAGGTAAACTTGATGCTAGCTTAGCAAAGATGACTTAATGCAAGACACAAACACACAAACTAAACATTTCACATAAAAGTTCATTGTTTTTTTATCTGGCAGTATAAAATGTAAGTAAATGGTGATCTGATATACATGTATTCTATGATTAATAGTAAACAAAATGTCTACCAAACTGCACTGTGAGCTCAGCACACCATTACACTCCCACACTCAGTTTCATTCGTATGAACTCTCAGCATACCTTGTAACCAGTCGACTCCCTCCTGTAAACCTTCTCCTTTCAGAGCATCGGTGGCACTGAAACACATAAACGCATCATATTTTAAAAAAGCAAAACACTTTTGAGTGACTTTGCTTTGTCACAGCTTTGTCAACTAACTTTCATCAGGTTACTGTAGAAAGCGTGTAATAATGTAAAGTAAAAGTTGGAATGGGATGGCTAGTGAAATTTTTAATACTTTTTCCACTGGGTGACTATTATGATTGTTCTTATCTAGAGTCCAAATTACATTACATTTAACTGACCCTTTTATCCAAAGCGACTTCCAATCTTACAATTGCTATACCGCACGCCTCTAGGGGTTAAGTGTCTTGCTAAGGGACAAATTGTTGTGTCACAATGGACTTGAACCCGGGTCTCTCACACCAAAGGCATGTGTCTTATCCACTGCTCCATCACCACCCTAATGAACAGTATAATCTCAATATGACAAATAATTTACAGTAATATGATAAATGACTACTTTACTACATGCATGCATGCATGTAAACACAGTCACTGACACATGCTGGTTGTTGAGAGTATGCAGCTATGGTCTGGTGTCTCCAATAGAGGAGGTGTGGGTTAAATACTAACACAAAAACTATACACTATTCTGACTGTAAGCTCACACCAGACAGCTTTATTCCACAGCAGATTTCAATTTTCTCAATGGCACTGGCATACTAGGTAAGTAAATTAGTGTGCGTGTATGTTCATACCAGATGTGCCAAGGTTTGTCTTTGATGTTTTCCAAACAGAGCAGCTGGGAGACCTTGACTGAAGACAGAGCATCCCTGACATCCATCTTGTTAGCAAAGAACAGGATGGGGATCCTCCTGTGTTTAATATCTGTAGTGAGAGTGAGGGGGATGATGTTGGAAAGTTAGTTTTATAAATTGTTGATATCTTTTGGTTTTACTGATGAGAAACAATATGGTAAAACCAACACAGCTTGGAAAAAAAAAAGACAGAAAGTATTAGTGGCAAAACAAAATGTGTACTCATAACGCAGAGTTTAGAGAGAAAATAGCCCAAGAAAGAGACAACAACAGTTAGCAGAGCAGGGATCAAACCTAAGTTCAGGAATCATGTTAAATGCACATGTATGTACCGGGATGGTTTAGTAATGTGTCCAGTTCTTCTTTGGCTACTACCATCCTCAGTTTGTCCGCACTATCAATGACAAATATGATAGCCTGGCCTTCCCTGAGAAATACAAAAAGATCACAGGAATTTATCTACTGTATATAAACGGCAATAGGATTGGTGTTTTTTGTAGCACTGACACTACTGGCACCACTCACTTGTAGTAGTGTTCCCAAAGGTTTCTGTATCTGCCTTGACCTGACATGTCAAACACTGTGAAGGAAAGACTGCAAGAAAAGAAGAGAGAAAAGCATATCATAATATATTAGACCTGCTCCACAATTACATGAATTTTCTTAAGATAGAAATATGCAACTCTGAGAAGATGAAATGACTTTTCTTTGACAACCAATTGTATCATATTGTAGGAGCCTAAATGCAGTTAACTGATAAATAATTTTAATTTATGTGTTAATCTGTAATTTACATGATTATCATTTATGTAGAGGGAATTGGAGGGAATATTTACAGTATTTTCAGGTTGATACAGTTAATATTTACAGTAATGCAAAGAGTTAATTGTATGCTTAGCTAAAATGTGTGTGGATACTTTAGAATGCATTTATATTACATCGGTAATATTTGGGGAATAGACTTATCGCCTTTTACCTTTAACAGCATGCACCTTTAATTGCGGGGGAATAATCACAAGTATGTGTGAAGTCACCTTAGTGGACAGTCAGGCAAGCAGAGTGGAGCCACACAGTTTTTTGACCTTTCTTTCTCCCTCCCTCTCCCCTTTTTGTTGTTAATTAATCATTTTTATTTTCTGTAATTTTCCTGTACTCATGTTTTGTTGCTAACCAAGTAAACAGATACATTGTTACAAGTGGTCCTGTGGGTTTATTGATGAGGAAGGGAGTGGATGAAGCGTCAAGCTAAGGCTTCATTCAGTGGAAACCTACACAAATGTTCAACAAGTTTTTTGGTTTAGGGTGAATAGCTACCTGGATGTCTTGAACTTCTCTATGCTGAAGCCAATGGTTGGAACAATGTCTTGTGCCTGGGCCTGAAAGGCAAATGCAACATTTTGTAAATAAAAACCTTAACAGGGAGCACAAATTAGTAAAATGTCTTAAATTTCTTGGTGTTATGTCACATAACTCAGTGTAATGCTACCTTAGTCCAAACGTTGGTGAGACTTACATTAGAGGGTTTGAGGTGGTTGATGATGGTGGTTTTTCCACTGTTGTCCAGACCAAGACACAGCACATTCACCTCCTTCTTCAACCCCAGCCATCCTGCCAACTTGTCAAACAGCCCCATTGGCTAACCAGCAACCATCAGCCGCCTGTCTGACCTACAAGAAAAAGGCAGCAACAGTTAGCTAGATGGGAACAGCATCTCTGGCACACACTGCGGGCTGTTTCAGTTTTCCTAGCCAGGGCTCTTGTCCAAGCTAACTAACTTTTCATGCAGTGTTACGTTAGAGGCTCACGCCAGTCTGCACTGACATTATTGTGACTTTTTGCTCTGGGTAAAATATGTATCACTTATCTGTTAATGTAGCTAACTCCACGAAAAACAAAGTTTTAGTTAACGTTAACGCGATGGCAAAGAAGGAACCGCAATTTCACACAACATTTAATAACATTAAACTAAATACGGTTTCACTGACACCATCAAGAGAAGGTAGGCTCAGCAGAGTTCCCCTTTGGTTAATTAATTTTCGTCCTCTGCTGTACAGACACTTCACCCAAGTTAAGTAATGTTAGCTTAATGTAAGTTAAACGCTAAGAGAAAACGATGTTGTATATTATTCGTTAAAGACGGCCCAGTGTAATTGTTATCAACATATGTTGTGATCTCGACGACTTTTATTCGCTTACCGTAGCCTAAGCTCACATGCTTAGTGGGCTCTTACCAGGTTCTAACGTAATTAACATTCGCTAACGGCTCTTTAGTTAATCTCTTGTTAACGTTGCTGTTGCTAGCCAGCCTTAGCTAACGTTTAGCCGCCTATTACTTCAGCTTGTTCAGTTTACACAGGCAGTATCTAACGTTAGACAATTCCTCTGCGGCACTTCATGTCGCCAGATTTACAAGACAGCCACAAACGTGAGACAGCACACAGTAAACATGTCTTGAAACCTTACTTAGCTAGCTTAACATTATGGCGTTACAGTTACGGCTAGATGGCTACGTTAGCTTGTATTATCTCATCCCGGACCCTGTTGGGTTTTACCTGCAATTTATTCTTGAGCTCTTGCTTCCAGGATGCAATGCTCCCTTAATCTATCTCATTAAATAACCAGGGTCAAACCAATGTTTCGTTCATTTCTCTTCTACTCATGCTCCCTAGACACCAGAAAAGGCAGTTATTTACACTGTGTTGCTGGGAGACCAGTGTGCTGAGTTAAGTCTGCCACCTGCAGGCCAGTTGGATATTCGACAGACATTCACCCAGGATCCAGTGACGGCTTTTTAGTCAGTTCACCCAGTGACGGTTGTATAAGTGCGGTTAGCTCACCTCTGATGGCTCGCTTTTAACCAACGGGGGTTAACTTAGGGACCATCAATAAATTCAAATTGTGAAAACAGTGTTATGGGAAAATCATTATTTATTTCAATAGCTTCCAAGTCATGTGACGCAGGGACTTCAAACCAATGCCGAATTGTAGTACTACACTAGAAAAATGAGACACAACCCTTCATATTTGATTTGAGTGCATTTTTTATTTTATATGAATATTTATTCATAATTTATGGAAAATAATGCCTTTTTTTTTTTCAATAGCGTCCAAATCATGTGACACAGGGACTCCAAACCAATGCCGAATTGTAGTACTACACTGGGCAAATGAGACACACCCCTTCATATTTGATTTGAGTAAATTTTATATTTTATAATATTTATTTATATTTTTTTCTTCAATAGATTCCATTTCAAATGATTCAGGGACTCAAAACCAATGCCGAATTGTACTACTACCCGTTACACATATTACACACCTCTTGTACAACTGCAGTTGTACCACACAGAGTCAGTCATTTTCTTCCACAGCATTGAGCAGATTTCAAAGAAACACTTTATTTACACAACCGACATTCCCAGTTTCCTTTCTTTGCCTCTTCATATTGTGTTGTCCATTTCCACACACTGAGCATGGAACCACCGTTCACAGCCATCACACTGGACCTGTGAAATTGAAAAAAATCTTTCGTAACATATTTATACATATATATTTATTTCAATGTCTGTTACTTAGAGGTAGAGCGGTTGTCCACTACATGGAAGATATATGCCCCCTCTGTATTTGCTCAGAAGGCTGTGCCATTGTTGTGTGAGTGTGTGTGAAGGAGTATTAGTTTCTTTCTCATCAGCAGTTGGAACCTTGCATTTATTTCTCTGCGTCACATGACTTGGAAGCTATTGAAAAAAAATTTCTTTCCATAAATTATGAATAAATATTAATATAAATTAAAAAATGCAAAATATGAAGGGGTGTGTCTAATTTTTCTAGTGTAGTACTACAATTTGGCATTGGTTTGGCGTCCCTGTGTCACATGACTTGGAAGGTATTGAAATAAATAATGATTTTCCCATAACACTGTTTTCACAATTTGAATTTATTGATGGTCCATAAGCTAACCCCCGTTGGTTAAAAGCGAGCCATCAGAGGTGAGCTAACCGCACTTATACAACAGTCACTGGGTGAACTGACTAAAAAGCCGTCACTGGATCCTGGGTGAATGTCTGTCGAATATCCAACTTAAAACTAACTTCACCGCGGTACCAGGGCTGACTCCGAGCTCAGACTAGCCATGCAATGTGATTGTACTGTTTTAGTAACATACTAAAAAAAATTAAGCACAATAAAGTTGGAACATGAAAAAATAGAAATTCTGCCCAGTGTTCAAGTGTTCATACATAATGCGAATAAACACAACCCGTGATTTGCCTACTACAGCGGTTTGAGACGCAAGCAAACATTTCGCTGTGATTTAATTGCTATGAAGGGATCAAATGATGCCGAAATAACTAGAAAATGATTACCGTTTTGTTAAGCATATTAATTGCTTGAATGCTTTGTCAGCATTCAGCAAGACACCAGAACAACAACTTTTAAAATGTTTGTTTTCTGAATGGAGTTCGGATCGATCAGGCCTGTCCTATGCTAACTTGTTCACTGCAGGTATCACACTGAAGTACAACGATAGTAGGCCCAACAGACACGTATTTTATGAACTTACCAGGTAGGCAAGCTTATGAAAATAAAATTCAACAATGAAAAAAACATATTTTGCCATTGTCTTTGGCTCTTTAAGGCTGTATGCCTTTCATCTATAACTTTCCATAAGCACCAGTTTGACAAACTCACCTGACAATTCTTCATGTCCAGAAAACGTGTCAGTCTCTTGAGTGACAATGAAGAGGACACTGTTATTGTGCATGTCTGTGTTTAAGAGACAGCGTGCACCCATGGATACCTCCGCAAGCACGTGTGCGTGTGCCTGTTTTAATGTGCATGCGCAATTAACAGCCTGCTTTGAAGAGAGAGAGATGTTCAAGCCTGTGGAGGTTAAAGTCTGAGAGACTATTAAAATAGGGTTGTTTATTAAGGAACAAACATACTGAATAAAACATACAACTTTCACAAGACTTTTTGTACAAGACATACTGCATTATCATGAGGATAGAACGTACATTTCTATAAAATCTTTTGACATTCAGAGGTCTTCAGTTCAAAAAACCATGATCACCATTCTGTCAATCTTTCTTTCTGGTTTCATTAACCCCTTTGAAGAGGTTCTTATTAAAATTACATACTGTACCATTCATTATGATACCTTATATCTCATCAACATCATCTCTGGTCATGAGGTAACTTGCAACCATTCAAAGTCAATAGAAACCATTGGATTGTCACTTGGAAAGAGAAGAGGTATTGGTGAACACTTGAATAGACAGAGAAAAGAAGTCCTAAATTCAAGTGAATGCTAGTATTTGCTGAGATAACAAAGAGACCGCATTTGGCCAACGCTGACAGAGGTTGGTTGTTGTGGAGGCTGTATTGATAATGACCCATTATATAATGACTATGTGTTAACCAGACCACGTGTGGTCTAGCAGCGGACCGCTGTCACTTGAGCAGCGTGTGTGGTACCTGCTACACCGGTGTTTGTGCAATTAGTTGAATGACGATGCCAAGGAACTCTGGTTTGCTTCAAGCACAGTGTGCTCGCAGAGTCTGTCTTTGTGCAATGGTCTCACACTTGAAAGCCACTCTGTTGGATGTGGTGAAGCTGCAGGCGAAGAGACTGTACACTACTTATGATTCTCCTCTGGTGACCAATCAAACAGATCCCGATACGCCTGATGTCGCTGAAGGGGAGAAGAAGATTTACAGTTTTTGAATTAATTCGTTTTATAAGAGCAGCAGAAATAAAGTTGTCCTCATCACTTTAATCTGCAACAAGCACATTGAAAAAACTTGATAATATGAACCATTACTAAATGGAGCATAGCAGGACAAAATACTGTAATACTAGCATATGGTTCATTTCAGACTGTCAGATGGTATGTCCAGAAATGTTTACAACTTAGAGTGACATTATGCAACTTCATGATGCTTCAGTGGTTAAGCTGGGACATAAAGAAAATTTTATAGCATCATCAAATAAAAAAAAATAGAACAAATATTTAAAAGAAGGCTATGACACACACACACACACACACACACACACACACACACACTGTACTGATATATTCTTGACCAAGCTTGATAGTGAATTATAATCAATTTTAGTACAATTTCACAATTTTTTTTGTTCCTTTGATGCTACTTTGTTTCCTTTTAGTGTGCCTTTTGGGCAGCTGCACTCTGTATAATTTGGCTTCACCCACTCTATGCTCATGGTTGAAATAGAATCCAGTGTTGTGTATCCTGCTGCAAGGAAGTTGTTCTTATACTGGCTCATTTTGATGGAGTCGAGCCAGTCGCCGATGGAGATGAAAAGAGGGTAGTCTGGCATGTCCTCTGGGGAGTCTGGGAAACTGAGATGACAACCGGAAAGTTAAGAAATACAAAAAGACAAGTTAGCATGTCATTCAGCCAAATAGTAAATGTTCTTTAAATGACCATGCTAGTGAGTACCACATTTACATAATCTCTCTCAAGATGTCCACGTTTGCTTAATGTTTTGGGTTTGATTTTCCAACAAATAGCACATAAATACATACATAAATGCAATGCTATAAGAGAGCTGACAATCAAACATTAAAATATGAAACTTCCCACAAGAACCTGAACGCACCAACAAATAACTGTTATTACCATGCAGTGATGACTAATTAAAATTAATATAAATAATTATTTACTGTGTGGCTTTCCTACAGTATCTAAAAGAAGTGTGTCTGTGCAAGATGATTATTATGCCCGACTGAAATTGAAAAGCAATGGCTCGGGGAAAATAATAAAACCTTACAGTATGCTTTAGATAGTATTGTATTGTAGTGGGCTAAAACATCTAAAACCACGAGCATCGTCCTTTCACACAGTGTCCGCATGAACTGACACTTTACCTCTGCACATCATTCACCAGAGTGAGCAGACTACTGGGATTGATTATGAGTTTGTCCAGGAAAGAGAGCACATTGTTGAAGCGCGGGCGCTGGCTAGACTCCTTCTGCCAGCAGTGCAACATCAACTGGTGCAGTGTCACAGGGCAGCCCATTGGTGCTGGTAGACGGTAGCCTTCTTCAATTGATAAAATGACCTGAGATGGACACCAATAAGTTAAATTCAAATGACAAATACAAAAAGATTTTTGTGTTGCTCATACAATTTAATGTGACCAGCAGCTTACATCTTGATTTGACATCTCCCAGTAGGGCCTCTCACCATATGACATCACTTCCCACATGACAATACCGTAGCTCCATACATCACTAGCTGAGGAAAATTTTCCATAAGCAATCGCCTCTGGTGCTGTCCAGCGTATTGGTATCTTTCCTCCCTGACACAAAACAATAAACACAGACTGCACCAACTGCAATAACTGTCTTTTGTGATTGTGATATCCTGCAGTGACTGTTAAATCCACACTCACCGTAGCGGTGTAGGCTGCTTCAGTGTCGTCTTCAAGGATTCTGGACATGCCAAAATCTGACACCTTACACACCAAGTTTTCATCCACCAAGATGTTGCGAGCGGCGAGGTCTCTGTGAACGTAACCCATATCCGAAAGATAGGTCATGCCCACTGCGATGCCCCGCATCATGCCAACCAGCTGGAGCACAGTGAACTGACCATCACGTGTCTGTAGAGGTTGTGAGAAAGAGAGAGGAGAAATATAATGTATGGAAGAAAAAAAGTTCCTCAGGAAACAAGTGGACATCCGTGAACGTGTATCCCTCTTACCCGGAGGAAAGAATCAAGTGCTCCATTTTCCATGTACTCAACCACTATCATTACTGGTCTGCCTGAGAAAAGGTAAAAGACATGATTAGAGTGACGAACAGAGAAAAGAGACCTAAGTAAAGAGTGTCATGAACTAAGACTGAAACTGAAGAAAACATCTGTGGAAAAAAACAACAACAGACAAACACACACACGCAAGCACACACCCACACACACACACACACACACACACACACATAATTATATAAAGCTTACTGTTGGTGACCACTCCCTCCAGCCTGATGATGTTGGGGTTGTTGAACTGCCCCATGATTGAGGCCTCACGCAAAAAGTCTCGCCTCTGTTGTTCCATATAGCCACCTTTAAGTGTCTTTATTGCCACAGCAATGTCCATCCTTCCAGGTATACGCAAACGACCACTACAGACTTCTCCAAATTCACCTGTCAAAACAACACAATGCCAAAAAGGGTGTATTATCTCTCATGTATCTTAAGACTTATTCCAAGTGGTGCTGACTTACTGTGACTCATTCAGTAATCATTGCTGCCCATATAATTTATATTTATGTTTTCTGCCCTTTCTGTTAGTTAACACTAAAACCGCCAACGGGTCAAATTTACCCGCGGCTGTTTTTTGATTGTATGTATCTTTTTTTCAATATAATATTCAAGTCCCCCAGTCTCTGACTTTTCCTAAAAGTGTGTTATATAGCACCCCCTATTGTTAAAAAATGTCAATATAAAGCCAGATTTAAAAAATGGACATTTATACCTATAAGCGCCAGCGGGTAAAATTTACCCCTATAGAGAATACAGTCATTTTAGCGCAGTTCATGTCGCGCGTTTAGATAAACATTCTATGTTGCTATTGGCAACGCCTTTTCCACTACAGGTATTACACTTGCTCAGCACAGTGAGTGAAGGAGAGTCTGACGGTGGGCTGAGCGATGTGTCCTTGGTTGATTCTGTATCTGACGGGTCGTTATCTGATAGCGATCCACTTGAATGAAGTAAACATGCATAAAAGCCGCTGCTCATTGGTTTTGTGTAGGCTACATGATCATCAAAACTAGTGCTGCAGTAGCCTAGTTTTTCCCTTTGATAAAGGTGTGTTCTAAGGTCCCTTCAAGAGACCGGCTATAACTTTTCCAGTGCTGTGTATTTTTTTAGTAACAGTGATCATTAGGCCTATACATTTTTCCATTGTGTAAAAATCTACTATGAATATTGGAATTGATAATAATCATTTTTTTTCAAATAAACAGACTACTTTTATTTGGACTTTCAAACTTTTATAGCTACTGTATGTGTTACTCTCTGGATGCCCGATGGAGTCCGAAAAAACAAGCAGAACAATAAGAACTAGAGGCCATTATTACCGCCTATAAAACAGTACAACAGTCAGTCTTTTTTGTAAATTGTATGCTGCATCTAAATTCAAGCTGTGTTTAGAATATAACTAGGCTATAACATCTATAACAGCGGCGAGTGGATGACATCAAAAGAGCTGCCGCTATGCACAGGGCAGGCGAACGACCTGCACGGTGAGGACAATGAATAAAATAGAATAAACATTCTGTAAAAGCCTGAAATATGGGGATGGTGTTTATAGGAAATGCACAGCCAATGTGCTAAATGTTTCCCAAAGTGTGTTGGAGCAACATGTAGCAGAAATAATCACAAAATCACGGCATTTTTATTGCGGGTAAATTTTACCGGCTATGGCGGTTATAGGTAGGCTACAACGAACAACGAACCCTGGCGGTTCTAGTGTTAAAGAGGTGGTATTATGCTTTTTGGCCTTTTCCCTCTCCCTTATTTAGTTATATCTCTTTTTTGTGCATGTAACAGGTTTGCAAAGTGAAAAAGCCAAAGTTCAGCCCAAAGGGAGTTCCCATCTCCCACAGAAAGCTCTGCTCTTAACCGCTTGAAAACAGCTCCTTTGTAGTCCAGCCCTTCACTTTCTTTACTTGTGATGTCACAATGAAAACGCGTCATAAAGCTTGCCAAGCAGCTAGCGGGGTCAGGCACGCCCTCAAAACAAGCTAGTCTGAGCGGAGGCCCTTTGGCTCGACTCGCCTTTGTTTGGTTTTCCATTGTAGAAGTGTTGTACCTGTACCTGCTTTCAGGTACTTTTTTTCGTTATCACCTCAACTCCTCGACGTTCCAAGCGAGCTGAGGGATACTAAAATGTAACGTGAAAACACGACAGACTGCTGATTGGTCAGAGAGAATCGTCACTATTCACTGCATCATGATCGCGTGCGCCAGACAGACGCCAGCAACAGAAAGTTTTACATTTTACAGTTTTTGTTTGGAATTTCATCACTAAATCCACTTCTGAGAAGTTTTGAGGTGAGAAATCAGCTGTGTAGATTTCAAATATTGACAGTTTCACAAGAAGTGATGGTGGAACAAAAATGTGCTTGAATATTTTCGGAGTTGAGGAGCTCCGCAAGTGGCTGCGGGGATGCCGGTGCCAACCCGCGGGAGGAGGCCGGCCAGCCGACCGCTCACAGAGCCCTCTGCTCCCGCCGTCACACAGACCGCTGCTGCAACAACGGTAGAGGAAAACAGCTGGATGGTTTTCATACCGATCATCTGTCTTTACATTCTGAGTAATGTAGAAACGTTTTAACTTAAAAAAAGCGAAAGCTGAGTGGATCGCTGGTGTGTGTGTCGCATTGAACATTATGTCGCGGCAGCGGCAGCTACGTACTATCTCTGGGTACTATCTGCAATGGAAAACGGAGCAGGGCCGAGTAGAGTCGAGTCTATCGATTTGCGCTATTGTAGCATTTTTTGGCAAGGCAGCATAGATCGTCAGAACACTGACAACAGTTCAGCTTTTAGTCCTGATGGTAAGATGTGGAACAATGATGTTGTGGACTTGTGAGTAACTTATACCATCTGCTAGGTTACGTCGCAGTCTGAAGCGGCTTTGGATTTGGATCACACTACCTTGTTTCTTAAGCTGATGATACACGGGGCAACTTTTTGAGCAATGTTGCTGGGCAGTCTTGCTAGTGGCAAGTCCAACTATGTTTTGAACGCATAGCTGCGGGGCGGGTGGCGGAGTGGTGGGGAAAGGGGATTACGGTAGTAATCATTACTCATTACCATTGATGGCAAGGTTGCCCTGCACGATTGCTCTAAAAGTTGCTCTGTGTATCATCAGCTTTACATCCCGCCCCTTCTCTGCTTCTGATTGGCTAGTAGTCCTTACCTGGGAACTGCGCATGTGCAACTCCCAACAAAGATTTTGTACAAGTAAGATCACTCTGTAGCTCAAGAGCGGAGCGTACAACACATAGGGTGAAAAGAGGAGCTGCAGCAGTGTGCAGTATGATAAAAAATATGGTGTTTTTTGAAAATTAAACCATGTAAACCTCTTCTGGTACAACCCCTAAATAAGATTTTGAACCTGAAAATGAGCATAATGCCACCTCTTTAAGTATAAATGTATGTTTTTGCTACAAAGGTGAAAAGTAATTTTGAGTCAATCAATAAAAACCGGGAGTCTCAGTTGAGATGAGAGTTGCCTTGCTGTTTAAAACATCTTTAAGTACATGCTGCCACCACCAGATGGAGCCCATGTTACGGAAACTAGACAAATGGATAGCACCTTCATAATTACTCATGGGCTGAATAGCAGACACAATCTGTTCAATTTAATTAACCATATAACATCATTATTCATAGTCGGCAGCAATGGCTTTGCTCCTCTAAGGTTCAATACACTAAATGACTTTAAAATCAGCTTGCTGAGAGTGGCTATAAAAAATGTTAAACTTGAACCTTATGGAGGTTTAACATTTTTTTTATAAAATTAAACTGTTACTCAACATAAAATGTGACATTTTTACAACATGCCTCTGTAATCTTAAATATGAATTACAGAAATAATACGCAGATAATGGAATGCACTAAATAATCTCTTCTACCTAGACCTTTTTGCACATAGTTAACACCTGTGCCGCTCCTGCCATACATACAGTATCTACATGTTTGCATCAATTTTACCTGCACCAATCACCCTCTCGATGCAAATGTAAGAGGGGTCTATCTCTTTGGCAAATTCCTCCACAGCCTGAGTGGGGTCTTCATATGTGTCTGGATCCACATAGGTCTTTATCCCAGAGAATGGGACTGGAAGAGAAGAAACACAGGCAACAACATACAGTATTACAATATTTTGCATATTATATTTGACAATCCCCCATACAGTTGTATTGGATCATGGACATGAGCACCTGTGCAATCAAGTACTACAGAGCAATATGTTTGCAGCCATAAAGCCCCAAAGTGAGTTGGCAGTTTTGAATCACAGGTTTACCAGATTTTAAATACTCTTAAACAGGACTTTCTTTATTTCTCTATTTATTCAAAATGCAGAATACATTTTGGACTACAGCCCTGTGGTAAATTCTGATATATACAGTAGAAGCATATAATGTTAGATTTTTGTTGAGACTGTGACAGAGAAGTCGATTCTTGTTTACAGTATATGAGGCCGAATTAATGTTGTATTTGCTTCTATTATACTGTTAGGATTTTCTGTTATTTTGTCAAGGGATGGAGAAAAAATAAATAAAATAAAGAGCTCAGAAAATGCCCCAGAGCTTTATGTAAAAGACATTTCAGGCAGCCAGGCTTCAGCATCCTCCTCACCGGCTGAGGCTGGGGACATTGCTGCAGTGAGCACTGTGCATGATGACTGGCACAAATGATAACTTGAAGCAGCCCCTGGTACACCTCGAGCAGATGAGCTAGGGACTAAATGTACTTTATAGCTGTGTCAGCTCATATTGTAGAAGGTTGAAGGCTTCGTCTGAGACAGATTCCAGGTCGGAGTCTACACTCCACCTCTGTCTCCAGGGTGTCTAAGCTCAGCTCTAACACAACAAGCCTTTTCTACCAGTTTGTTGTTGCCTGCTGGCATCCCCTGCCTGGGTGATGCCTCCACAGCACACAACAGGAAAGAACAAACAACAAGAAAAGATTGTAGGCAAGATTATTACTATTTCAGTCTTTTTTCTTTTTTGGTTAGCAGGACTGTTATCATTCTTTGTCACGTGCTGCAAGTAAAACTAGACTTTAATCCATCCATCCATCGTCAACCGCTTATCCTGCATACAGGGTCGCGGGGGGCTGGAGCCAATCCCAGCTGACATCGGGCGAAAGGCGGGGTACACCCTGGACAGGTCGCCAGTCCATCGCAGGGCCACACATAGACAAACAACCACTCACATGCACACCTAAGGACAATTTTGGAGACACCAATTAACCTAGCCTGCATGTCTTTGGATGGTGGGAGGAAACTGGAGCACCCGGAGAGAACCCACACGGACACGGGGAGAACATAAAAAATTCCACACAGAAAGGCCTGGGCAACCGGCACTAGACTCTAATGATATGCAAAATTATAAAAACAAAAAAGACTGGATAATTTTGCAGCAAAACACAGGAGGCAAAGACACAGAACACAACATGAAGTCACACACAAACTGTAGTAGTGCACACACACAGAAAGGCCCTGTGTCCATTTCATGTATGAGTGTGTGCCTGTGGAGATACTGGTATGTCAGCATGTTATAGTATTTTCCTTCATGTTCTTCTTCGATCAATCACAAATCCCCAAAACAAGCCAGCAGATCATAGAATGGTTAGATTTGTCTCAGGAGCCACACTTGTTCCCCTGCAGACCTCAGATCGAATCCTACAAGAGCTCTCACTGAACCGTCTTAGTAAATTACACAGGACACCATTTTGTTTCCCCCCAATGAGACGCTTCCCCTGTGTGGCAATCAATAACCCTGTTTTTATCTGTATTTGTAGCACCGCACTTCAGGTCAGTCCTGTAATTCTTAAAATGGAACAGCGGTTACCCAAGTTTGGTCACAATTCAATAATGGGTGTGTGAGATACTGTGAGTGGTGGATGGCTGAAAAAAGTGAAAGATTTGGCGTCAAAATAGGGCCTGTCTGTAGACTGCATGATCAATAGTGTGCACAATGGTGAGACAGAGAGAAGGATTTGTAAGATATATTTCTTGTGCAGTTACAAAAACAACTAAGTGTTGCAATTTTGTAAAATTATGCACTGCGCCAAGAACTTAGATCAACACAGGTGTGTGTGTGTGTGTGTGTGTGTGTGTGTGTGTTCTAAAAGTATTAAAATCTTTCAACCAGTTCAATCTTTTGTTTTCTGGAGATTAATCCGACCGATACTGGATTTTTAGATATTTTGGAGTTTCTAAAATCTGATAATGATATATCAGCGGAGAGTAATTTGTTTCATATTAACACATAACATAACTAAAACAACAATCCTAATACGCATGCCTTAGTTTTTTGGAAAATTGTGATCGAGATACATAGTGAGTTGGACATTTTGCAGTCTGGAGGCATAATTATATATTGATATATTGGCGTGGTAGATTTATCGGTCTAGCTCTAATCTGAACTTAAATAGATGATGCACAAACTGTGTCAGTATTTTGTAAGTTTAGAACGTGAGTTTACTCTAAACACTAACATTAGCCTAGTGTTCTCACCTAGTCAACCATAACAAGCATACCCGTGTGAAAACCCATGCAAGCAATCACACACAATAAAAACATTATATACAGTACCATGTCCACTGTGGAAGCGAGCTCTCCTCTTCTCCTCTGACTTCATCCTGGCTTTAATGTACCCCTGACACCTGAACAGGGAAAAGGAGTTTGCAAAAGAATGAGAATCACCTTCATCACCACATAAAACACCCCTGGATGTCCCAGTCTTTTTCCAACCAGCTCAGTGTTTTGTGTGAATTAGTTGACATTATCAGCAGGAAACAAGTATGACATTTAACATATTTACTGCCCTCATGACAAAAGGTGGGAAAGTGTGCATTTATTCTAAACTGCCTAAAAACGGCCACATCCTCAATCATCTGGTTTGCAAAGATGTCTCTGGTGGCAAAAACAGACAGTAATTTTCCTTTTTCTATAACCCATTCTTTTGGAGCAATGTTTGTTCTTGCCTTTTTGTATTTCTTTTTATTTTCTTCCATTCTTCCACATTTGTCCCATTCAGAGTGCCACAAATTCAAAGCTTTCAAGGCTTAGTCTCCATAGAGAGGGAACATTGAGACAAAAGTCGCAATCAAACATTAGCATTCATCAAAAAGAACAAATTGCATCCTCTTTGTGAAAAAATACAAATGGAGTGTTGCCCTTTGAAAATGTCATCATTGGATTAAAATGTGCAATTTTTTGCAACTTGTGACTTAAAAGTGTTTGCTTATATAAAAATAGTTTAAAGACAGGCTGAAACAGTATATCAAAGTAGTACCAAGTACACATAATGGAGGGACAGGAACAGGTTTCTGACATATATATGGATAGCTGTACATTACAAATATATTTCAGGTGAAAGTTAGGATAGGGATTGGCTACAAACAGCGAAAAAGGGCCAGAATCCAGAAACAGTGGATATCTTAGATTTTCCAAGAAATACGGCTTATTCCTAAATTACATTCATAGAATTGTTTAAATGTTTACTATAAGTTGAAATATGGACTAAACATACATCTTCAGGACACGTCTTTGGAAATGCATATCTTTTTGGACCATGTACAAGTGATTTTCGAGAATTTGTCACATTCACCAATGTACTTTTGTGTAATTTGTTTTCATACAAGTCATTCACAGATAGTCTACCTTTCTCCACAGAAGGAAAAACACTTAACTTTGATTTAAGAATTATAATGGCTTAATGAATGAATTTGGAGATTAAATATGATAAACATTTTTGTTAATGAAACTTTCCCAAACATTGAGTGGAACAGGTAGCCTTATATAGCAACTTGAGGCCATTGATTATGTCTCTAACGTGCAACTGATCATTAACAGGACGCGTTCATCAAGTTCAAGCAAGTGATTTACGAAACGTTTCTGGAGTTGAGAGTTTGGTGAATCTAACTCGGGACACGCAGAAACCCAGACAAAGTATCCACAGATTCTGGGTCACTTCTCATTGATTATTTTTCATTAATAAGTGCCACTAATGGTAAAACCCCATGAAGCAGAGGTGGACTGAAGACAACAGTCTGAGATAACCTGTGGAAGTTAATGGAATGGAGCCAACTACTGGTTCATGCATTACATGCTGAGTAATTAGGCAGAAAATTGGTTCAGTCGTTTGGAAAATAAGAGTGTCTGCTTGGTGGCAAGAGGGAGTCCATTAACAGACTTCTGGTTGTAGCGTTACTCTGAGGACAGAAGCACAGAGGTAGGTGTGTGTGTGTGTGTGTGTGTGTGTGTGTGTGTGTGTGTGTGTGTGTGTGAATGGGTGGTTTAAGCCAGCACAAAAGAGAAACATAGTGAGGTGGGGGTTGGGTTTTTTTACCGGCCAGTGATGAGGAGAAAGAGGGTGAGGATGACCAACAGGGAGAAGCCTCCTACAGATGCTGTGACGACCACCAGAACTTGTCCCTGATCAGCGATATCAGGATCTGAGGAAATTGGGAAAGCAACAGGAAACACAGAGGAATGACCAATCAGTACCTGTAAAGAATAGCATCTCTCTCCCAGAGTTCAAACCAGAGACCTGAACACTACACTACATTGTGTTACGGTGCAGTCACAAATGACTGAAAAAAAACAAATGGATTAAAAACAATATTCAGATTCTGTGTTCCATCAACTCATTTTATAATATCATGTTGCCCACTCAGGTTCCCTTTTTGCACACATCTATAAACAATTCCAGTGCATTTTAATGATATAAAAATCATATTTAAAATGCTTGTAGTCACTGCTTCCATTCTGAATTCAGGGCCTAAATAAGACTACATTGCCATAGAACAGATGAAACAGAATGCGATACATGTGTTGAAGTTGTTCCTAGTTGTTGGCAGTTCATCACATTTGCTGAAAAATGTGGCTGCACAGACAGTTGCACATGAATCTATTTAAAACCATGGCTTAGTTCCCTTTTCCATGGGTATGTTGGAAAGTAAGGGATATTTCTTCTATGTATCTGTTACAGCCCTTAGCCCGTGTGTGTCTGTGTACTGCTGCTTGTCTGTCCTCTGCAGGTCCTGCCCTTCCCCCCCTCTGCATGTTGCAGTCAGGAGGCTAGTGTGCACACCTGTTCCCAGTTTGCAATCAGCGGGAGTGCAGGAGCTGGTATAAGGGGCAGAGAGCAGGCAGACTGGCTGTAGAGTGTGGAGAGCAGATCGATGTAGACAGTCAGCCAGCTTGGAGAGCTGGGTGACACTGCGGTGGCGTTTGTGGAGTCCTTGCAGTGGTGCGGATCAAGTCTGAAACTCGTGTTTACTCCCTCAGTGGAGGGAGGGTGGTATTTATCATTGTATTAATTTCCCCTTTGTGGCATTTGTCTTCCTGTGAGCTACCTTTTAGTTTGCTGGCGGGTTGTTATCCCTTTTTGAGAGTACCTTGGTTACTTAATATTGTAAATAAAATGTCAAACTATACTGATAAAGCCATCTCCTTGCTTCCTTCAACCTGGAATGATTTTATTATTGTCACTAACCTCCTTCCCTGGACTTTCCACTGGAGGTTCGTAACAGTATCTCTAACAAACTAAAAGCTATTTTAAATGATTCTTCTGTTGCCTGTGAGCAAATGATGAAATATGCATATAAAAATGTTTTCATAACAAATAAGTATTTAAAAGAACAGACCTTTCATTGAGCCTCTGTTTGTGTAAATGTTTGAATCAAATGGCATCTGTTGACATTCACATTTTTCATTTTCATGAGCCTTGGACTTCTCCAACAGTTACCATTGTATGGGTTGAATAAGGATTGAGAAAACATGATACATAGAAGTGTATATAAATGGACTAATGTCAGATGCATTGGTATATGGGAGTATGAGAATGTGAAGGTGGGTATCTACATATTCATCACCTAAAATGTGTATCTTGTAGGATATTGCGCATCTCTGCATATTTTAGGATTAGAATCAGCAGAGCGTTATGTGTGCATCAGGAACTTACAGAGCTTATAACCATTTAAATAAATGGCTCATGCCTGAAGAAGCAGTGATGGGTTTCACTGATCCATAGCAAAGAATGACCATAAAATGTCACCAGGGATTTTATAGGGTTGTTGATCAGCACTGATGTCCAGATCTCTGGCTTTAAAAATCCCTTCTTCTCATGTGCATTGTTTTAAGACAAAACTCTATATCCACTGGCATTTCAACACAAATCTGACTCAATATTACTATATTACATCAGCCAGTATAAACACAAACACCGGCACAATTCCCTCATGCTCACTCCTCTACAAGCGTACCCTCAGCGGCAGTAACAAACTCAAAGTTGGGGCTGTACGCTGTGTAGCCAGCAGCAGTGCGAGCACGCACGTGGAAGACATAGACAGTCGAGGGTCTGAGGCCTGTTACCACCACGCTGGGGGTTTTGGTCCGTGTTGATGAATAGCTCAGCTGCTCTTGCTCCTAGAAAAGCAGAAACAGATTGCCAGAGATGATAAACAAAAGCAAGTTTTTGGCAGAACAACCAAAAAATGCGTTTGCATAAACCCATTATCAATGCAATGTTTGAACAGATCATCATTTTTATCCTATTAACAATCAGAGCAGATGAGGAACAAAACCGAGATAGCAATTCATAATGGATGCTCTACACTTACATTTGGGTTTCTGTATGCTAACAATGCACGTGGTTCTGTGGGAAGTAATTTCTTGTGTATGTAATCACCTGTGGTGCATAGCAGTGCTAAAATAACTGTAATGTAAACCACTGTTACCACTAACCAATTAACACATAAACATAGTCGAAGAAAAGAAAAAAATCTGCCTTATTCAGTATGATGAAACAGTTTACCTTCTCATGGTATTTGACTTCATAGTCTACTATGTCTGAAGGCGGCTGTTCCACTTCTGACCAGGAGAGAGCGATGCTGTTTTGAGAGGCCCAGTCTTTCCTGACTACACCCACCAGAGCAGGACCTGAAGAAAGTTCAGGGATTAGAGTCAGCTGTGACTACAAACCTGTGAGGAGTCGGTTGTTTGGAGGGTTCAAGCCTAGAGAAGTTAATTCACCGATATAAATCTTCACATATTGGCAATTTCACGATATGTCTAAAAAAAGCTTATTTGGCTTAGTGATTAACTTTTGTGCTACGGGGTAGGTTACTGAAATGTATGCATGTGGCAAAGAGTGATTCTTGACACAAAGTGTAAGGTTTGGGAAAAACGTAAGCAAGAAGAAATAGTATGTTTGCAGCCAGGCCCAGCAACCCAGTCACCTGTCCGCGAGGCCCAGGGGAATGAGGAAAAGAGTGATTCCAGCCATTTATTGCTCGAATCACTTCAGTGAATCCACTAAGTTCATAGACACAACTGAACAACACATTTTAAAAGTGTCTTCAGCCTTCACAAATCAGATATGAACGATGAACAAAACGTTTCAGAACTCCACAGTGGAAAAAGAAATCTGAAATACTGCCTGAGAAAAGTGCATGTATACCTAACATCTCCACTCTACAGCTTACAGTGGACAATCTCAAGTAAAACAGATTTTGAGAAATTTAATGACCTGGTGGCTGTTTGGAAGAGAAATGTTCAGTTCACAGAAATACCCAAAGGGAAAGGAGGGCCAAGAAACAACCATTTTACTGTCCAGCTCCAGTATGATGTGCCGCTGGAGAAAAACATTTTTGTTAAACAAACCACAAGATCCACAGCAACTGTTTATCATGTTTGTCATTATTGCTGAATTTGGAGGAATATTTTACACAAGGCTGCTGAGGAGACATGAAATCACCTAGCAGAGATTCAAATATTTACCATCAATTATTCATAAAGCCTTCGCTTGAACAGAATATGATTTGGCAAACGAATAGATCCAGTCCCTCTGTTGTTGAGCGTGCTGTTTCGGAGATCATTGTCGGAATACAAATCCAAGCCCAGATTGATGCCTTAAACTGTCCTCATGCTCAGAAAAGCGGATAACTGAGTATACACAGAATGCCACAGACCGGACAGGGAAAGGTGAAGCATCACTGTATTTCATCTGACCTACCGGGGTTCAGATGCCACTTTCTTGTCAAGAAGCCAAGATTTTCTATCAGCAGCTCGGCCCAGACACAACGCTTCACAGTCCAGCAGCTCAACCACTTCAACTTGCATCAAGACCCAAAAAAAAAAAAAAAAAAGAGCGGCGACAAAAATTGTGCACACAGGAAGCTAGAGTTTGATGCTGACTTGAGGTGACAAATACATAAATCTAAGGTGTGTCTAACTTTGCATTTCTCTATAAATCGAGAACTATGTCTTGTCTGTGACACAGAGCCACAAAACCTTGTCATAGTGTGTAAGTGTGTCAATAATTAAAATATACACCCTAAACATACAGCATCACATATGGATCACACATGGACAGGATCTTAATCACTGCACTGTGCTGTCTACTGTATTAAAGTTTTGCAGAGCCAGATCACACATCTGCCATGTCAGCCATGTTATTCCAGGTAACATCTCACTATCCTGGTGGCAGGTGGTGTCTGAGCTGCACAGAGCGCCTGGAGATGTTGTGGGAATATCTCAAGCCTCTCAGTCTGGCTGCCTGCTGCAGTTATTAATGGCAAACAACAGACACACCAACAAAAACATACACCATGTATTGACAGAACACTGTGCAAAAGTTCACAGGCAAGGCAAAGACTCCACTGTGTTGCTTTGCAAATTTCATCTGTGCCATATCTGAATTACTTCAATGCATTGGTCATTAGTATAAAAATTATCAGTGCAGTGATTACTTTAAAAAAAAAAAAATAAAAAAAAAAATAAATTATCAAGTGCACAATATTAAGCACTAGCTCCTTTAGGCAAATTCTTTGAGGTGAAATATATGACAGGTAGCCAAAAGCATTTCAGATTTTGCTGTGGATATATATTTTTTATATTAATCGATTAATTGTGAACTATTAAATTAATCACCAACTATTTTGATAATATCATCTATCATCTAAACAAAAGCAAATTAAAAAAGATGTTCAGTAGGGCTTGCAGCTAACAATTATTCTCATTATAGTTAATCTGGAGATTATTTTCTTGATTAATTGCTATGTTTTTAAAAAATGTTAGAAATTAGTGAAAAATGCCAATCACAAATTCCTGAAGCCTAAGTTGACCTCAACAGTCCAACACTCAAACATATGGTTAATGCTCTGTGCTTGTATAGCATCTTTCTAGTCTGCAGACCACTCAAAGTGCTCTTACACTACGTCACATTCACCCATTCACACACAGTTATGTATGATCATACACTGATGTGTAACTGTTCAGAACAGAAACCAACATTCACACACAGATGGAACAGCCATTGCGGGGCAATTTAGGGTTCAGCATCTTGCCAAAGGACACTTGGACATGCAGACTGGAGGAGCTGGGGGATCGAACCGCTGCTCTTCCGCATAACAGGCAACCCGCCCTACCTCCTGAGGCGCCCATATTGCAATAAATATCTCATTGAATAAAGAAAAGAAGCTGGAACTCAGTATTATTAGGATTTCTTTGCTTAAAAAACAACATCAACTATTAAAACTAAACAAGAATGGAGCCCATAAATGTCATATTCAAATTTGCAATGATGATGAACTTCAGTTGGCATCAGTGGAACCAGGCAAAAAAATATGCATACTGTAACCCACTTAGGGGATAGGAAGGTTTGTGAGAATCACATTACTAGAGGAGATTTCTGTGTGCAGCATACACTATAATGTTATGTATCCATCACCATGCATGTGCGTGCGTGTGTGTGTGTGTGTGTGAATGTGGACGTGTTTTGCAAGTGAGAAAACTCTAAAAACCGTCTTAACTATTATGCAAGAAGCTATTTTAGGTTCAGGTTGAATCAATCCACTGGTTAGAGACCTTCTGTTATGTATGAGTGGCTCAAAGAAATCAAGCACGGTCATTAAAGTTTCATCAAAATTCGCACATCCAAAGATAATTGAGAATCTATGACCTCCAGTTATTGGCAACATGTAAAAATAGGTTACCCCTCAACTATGGAAGCTCAAACAGATAAAGAAAGGACAGAGGGGGAAGAGGAGAGAGACACAGAGTGAACAGGGAGAGCTGCAAAGAAATCCCACGAGGATGCATCTCCCCAGCATCTGAGCGTATAAATAGTCAGCCTTATTCCCAGAGCAAAGGAGATGAAAACAGAAGAGAAACCACAGGAGGAATGGGGAAAAGAGCAAAGTAAAAGAGTGAGAATCTCCTGAATCAGGACACCACAAAACAGTGGGAAATGTTCACACATGGATTTAGCATGTGAGAACTTGACTGCATGACTGTTGTTATTGTTTTGTAGAAGGAAAAATGATGTAGATGAAGATACCAGAGGCAAAACCATTTTTACTACAATTTGTAAAACATTGAGAAGAAGTCAACAGCCTGTAATTTCAAGTATGAAGTGAACTCTGGGTTCATATGAAAACAGTTCGCAGTCCGTGGAAAGACATGGCACTGCACACATAAAAATAGCCACATGTGTACTGTATGGCATATATACAGTATACTAAATGTAAATGCATAGATTGGATGAATAGTCTCAATATTGTTCTTCAGAGCCGCTAGCATCCATATGCTAGTCAAAGGGTTATAAACAACAAATGTGAGTGAAATCACTGACTTACATTTTAACAACTCCAAAGAACCAGAGCACCAAGCAGAAGTCAAGCATTAAAAACTGAAAACTTTGTTCACATACATTTTGCCTATGGCAAGAAGTCGGGGTTCATAGTCTCAAAACATTGCAAACAGACAAACACTACCACAAGTGGAACTGTCCATTTTTGCCTTGCACCGGTGTGTTGTCAGCCTGTGGTTTCTTTGATGATGGACGTAAAAAATAACAGGGGAAAAAGGACAAAATGAGTGAAATTACTTTCTAAATGACTAAATCAACAGTGCCAGACACAGAGCAAAAACTATATGCCATGGACAGCCACAGATGTTCCACAAAGGTCCAACAGTATCCACTGTGTAAGTGTCAGGATGGAAGGTAAGGGCTCTAAAATTTGGCCATCCAAAAACGATGCTATAGCTATAATCAAACTACGTACCACTGGAAATACATGTACATACACAATACTATATTTTGGACCAACATATGTTATAGTCTGATATTACCAACTATGAGTCAGAGAACAATGCAAAATACCACAGAAATATATTACCAATTACTTGTTAAAAGGTATTTATTCATCTGATCTTAAAAACGTCTCGGGTTACGTATGTAACCCTGGTTCACCGAGAAGGGGAACGAGACACTGCGTCGCTTACGACACTATGGGAACGCCTCTAGGCGTAGCAGGTCTGAATGTGAATGAAATCACTCCAATCCTATTGGTTTGTTGCTAGAACGGTATGGTGTGACGGAATAACCGGAGGAGTATAAAGCACACAGCTGTACACACTCATCATTAGCTTAAACTATGAAGCAGGCACTTCAGGCGGGGAGAGAGATGCGGCGGGCTGACGCAGTGTCTCGTTCACCTTCTCGGGGAACCAGGGTTACATACGTAACCTGAGACATTCCCCTTCGAGGGAACTCGAACTGCGTCGGTTATGACACTATGGGAACGAGATACCCACTAAACCGTGCCGAAAACCCCGCCTGCCCCAGTGTGCAATAAAGTGGCACGACTAAGAGGAGAGCGCACGAGTGCCAGGTGCCGAAGGAAGGTCAAGGGGGCCTGGAGCTGAGGAGGGTCTCGACTGCTCCGGCTGTTAGACCCGCCTCTAGGTACTGTGCCTCCTCAGGGGCCAGACCCACAGTCGCCATACGGCGGGGCAAGGGTGAAGAACCCGGCCCTGCGCCTGGGACAGCAGGTCTCTCCTCAGAGGAGAGGTCTCTCCGCACAAGAGCTCCACCACTTCGGGGTGAAGTCTCCATTCCCCGGGCCTCAGCCCCTGCCTCGACAGCAGGTCTGCTC